AACATAGCTCGTGAAGAGGACAAATTATTTTGTATGGATAATACTCGACTTTGTTACGAAAAAAGGAATAGTATTTTTCTACTATTGGTAATTAATATATAAAGCTGTATTATAAAGCTAGATAATATAGCAAAGGACAATAATAAGCACTTTTCACATATTTAAATGAATTTTATCATAAAATATTGCCCGTGGACAAATTATTTTATAAAAATGGTCATTTTAAATGATTTTCACCCTAAACACGTCGATGACCTAAAAATATATCATTATGGTGTGTCAAACTTAACTGTCAAGAATTTTGAGTAAACCAAAAGTATCACTGCAAGGCATACCCCTCTGTAAAAGGTCCGACTCATGCCCGTTATATAAAACTAGTTGTTCCGCTTCGTGCGCCATACCGCAAGTGATCGTGCGTATTAACATGCAAAAAACAATCAAAAACGTTAAATCTACAAAAGGAAAACGTGATTTTTCATCTGTGAGTATTTTTAACATAATATTTAAGTAATATTATCATTAAAACTCGTACTTTCTGAATATTTTCGTCAAATACCAAGTGTTGCCATCATAGTTCATAAAGTGAAAAATAATCTATTCTTAAATTAATATAATTCACTGCACAAGTTAAATATATTAAAGAAAATGTGTTTTCTAGTAACTAAATAAGTTTGTGGTGAATAATAGTCATTACATATAGATGTGTAGTGAATTTCGTTAAATTATTTAAATATTCAGCTCAATTTCAACACGATTCTGAATATTATAATATAATCGATAACTAGTATTTATCACATTATTATACAAAATAAAGGCCAAATAAGTAAAATCGAAACTTGCTACCTCGCAGCAAAAGTGTGTTATTTTTATAAAAATAAACTGGTATCACTGGAACCGAAAGTATAGTGATGTATGCCACAACTTTAGCTATCGATAAGTTAACTAACCATGAGGGTTAGTCTGCCCAACCTTGTACTTTTAATTTAGATTTTATAATAAAGTATTATAAAAAGTAGTAAATTTTTCTATTATTGGTTTGTTTTTACAGATTTCCAAGAGATCCTTTTAGGCGGCAAACTTAGATTGCAGCTTGTAGAAACCATGAATCTTCAATACCTAAACGGTCTAGCACCATTTGCTCCGAACATTTTGAAAAACCAAACTTCATACCCCAAGCTAACAATAAAAGAAGGTTAGCCGACACTGCAGTACCAACCTTGAACTTGTGGGAGGTAATGTTTGGTTGTAATTATATTTAGATTAAATATTTTTATTATTACCTTTGACCCCAATATTATTCTACTTGAAAATATTTTAGAATTTCAATAAGTTTGAAGAAAAAAGTAAGATGTTTTGCCCTAACACTTAATTATTACTCACGAAAAGTCTATCGCTATGTGCGTAAAACTTTTGGAAAATGTTTGGCTGCACCACGAACATTGACTCACAGTACCATCGATGGCCGACCAGGGTTTACTCAAGAAGCGCTGACGGCATTAAAATTGAGAGCGGTTTCATGGATGAAATTAAAATTAAGCAATTGACGGAATACCATGCTAGCAGCCAAAGGCATTATGGATATAAAATCGAACCCGTAATCTACGTAGATTACGGGTTCGATTTTATATCCGATAATTCCGATAAAGCTACTGACGCATTAGTGTTTTTATTGGTCGGTATAAACACAACATGGAAAGCACCCATAGCTAACATTTTGATTAAGGGTACGAGCGCTGAATTAAAAGCACGGCTAGTAACACAAGCTTTCTGTCTTGTACACGAAACTGGCATCGAAGTAAAGGCGTAAGAAAAACCTTCCTACTTGCAATTATACTGTCGAAATGCCACCTAGCATCAGGAAGGCCCTTATCAACCAAGGACGAATATCTATTAATTGGACCTCATGCCCATTTAGAGACTTTACAATAGTAACAAGATGCTTTAACTGCCAGCAGTTTGGTAATTCAGCCAATTTTTGTCGAGAAAGTAGCCCCACGTGTAACTACTGTGGAGAGCTCAGGCATTCCTTTAAGGAATGTAATAACAAATCGAATGCCCCCGTTTGTGCGACGTACAAACGTTTTAAAAGAAAATGTGACCACAAAACTGGTAATGAAAGTTGTCCAGCACGTAAATTTGCAGAGGACAAATATATCAACTCCATAGACTATGAGGGCGCCTAAGAGCGCTGCGTATTATTTTATTTACATAGCTCATAAACACCAGTTTTAGTTTATCTTTAAGCTTTATTAAGACGAATCAATTACTCAATGACCTAGACAACTTTTCTATGTCTGACGCTCAAACATGTAATGTTGAAGACTGTAAACACTTCCTCCCTCGTCGAAAATAAGTTAAATCATACTTACATAAAACATTGAAAGCATAAATCGGAACATAACCTGGTTTGAAGTTTTGTTGCATAGACTGGATATAAAATATGATATTATCCTTACAGAATGTTGGCTGTCAAACGTCACACCCACCTATGGATATTCTTTACACAAAACTGAGAAAATCATTAACCAAAATGACGGTTTAGTAATCTATGTTAAAAATAATTTAAAAGTAACTGTCACAGAGCCTACATTCCAGGATAGTAATTGCTTAATCATTCGAATTAATTCCGAGACGATTGTTGTTGCAATTTACAGACCTCCTTCTCAAAATATTGTTAGATTTCTAGAGTTCCTTGATATTATTACCTTAAACAAACTTAGCACATATAAAAATATCAGTCTAACTGGTGACATACATATTAACATTACCCCTGGGAAAACGGATAACCACGCACATAACTACCTAAATATCTGCTCTTTTCATGGACCATTACCAACACATTACCACCCTACACATCAAAGCGGCTCGTTTTTAGACCATTTTGTGATTAAATTAAATTAACTCTCTAACATTATTTACTAATTCCTCGCTTACTGATCATCAAGCAATTTACTAACATTATAATTAACCTTACGCAGCTACACTAAAGTCCATATGACGAACCTTGAAAATGACATTCGCAGCATTAATTTTGACTTTGTTTATCGCTCTGACGGTGCAAATACGTCCTTGAGTTACTTTATAAATTCTTTACAATACGCAATAAAGAATAATACATCAACAATAAAACTATCACGTAAGAATTATAATATTAAACCTTGGATAACACCTGATCTGGGCGGGGGTTAGTTTACTCCTAACTTTTCGACATTATAAGAAAGACTAGATTAACACCTATTCTGCTCACCTGTCCGGCGAGTAGTTTGGCGAATGGCTCTGGGGGAGAGCGCAGGTCGTGTTGATCCCCAGGGCAAGTCTGAGGAGTTCTTCCTTCACGTGATTACCGCATGTTATTCGGTCTGGTTCAATAGGAAACAGACAGAACTATAATAATTAATATGTGTAGTTTAATTTTTTTGTACGCCATAAATGGCAAAACATGTAGCTCGTTTTAAGTTTTTTAACACTGTATTTTTTTACTCATGTTTTACAAAATAAATATCTTTATCTTTAAGAAACACTCAGACGATCCTCTTCTTCTTATTTTTTATCCCACTCCCTTTTTCCCATTCTAACCCAATCCGAGGTGTCAAGCGAACCGTGCTGATGGATGCGTGGCTGGAGGGAGTCCAGTGGCAAACGGTGTCTACCTGAGACCAGGGTGATTCGGGTAGCATTTAAGCCCTTCCCTCGGAATGCGGGGCTCTTCCGGGGGTGACCGAATATTTCCCTAACTAATTGTAAGACCAAAATGGACAAAAATCGACATTTTGAAAAGATCACCGAAAAATGGATGCTCCTCTAATGGAACTATCTGTAGGTTTGGAAGAGGCTCTTTTAGCCTCACCAATATCCTGCAACACTACGCCCCAACCTGGGACAAGCCATAAAGTGGAGGGCAAGTCTGCAGCCGAACCACAATTGGAAACGAACCAGAGAGGGGAAAAGAAAAAGTTCACTAGACCTATAAGCTTAGTGGGGCAGCAAGGAAGAGGTGCCGACGGCTGATAACAGCTGAGATAGGAGCCGGAGAGGCCCTCTCTCTCTATCAGAAGTCCTGGGACGAAATTCCTCTGCCCAAACCTCCCCCAGTTCCAAAGGCAAAAAAAACGCTTTATTAACTTTCTTCGCGGATGACCTCCTATATTTGCCACAGTTGCTAAGCTTGCCAGGCGAGTTGACAATCGGAGTTTTTTATTGTTAAGTAGCGTATGAGAATATTATATCACGCCATGGGATGGGTGTCTTACGAGGTGACATAGGGAAATTGAAGATGTGTTAACTTTGACATCGTCACAAACTAATAAGAGTACTATCGTAGACATCATAATATATGACCAGTCCCACAGTTAGTGGTTTTTTATATTTATATCTGTAGCAGTTAAGTCTATTTTCTAATAATCCGATTATATTTGAATAAATCTTACAATTGTAATTGTATTGTGTTTTTTACGTTGTAGAGCCATGCTGCAGTTATATTAGTAGTATAGTTGTAGCACGAATGGGTCGGCTCGACCGGGGAAGGACCGGATTTTGTAATCCTATCCTATGAAAAAAATTGTTTAGAATAAAAAAAATTAAGAAACAACTTAACTCTCTACACTCCATAAATTTAATTCAAGTAATAATACGTATATATAATTTCCTATAGCGCTGAAATACGACAAAACACTGATGTAAAGGAATTATAAAAAAAATCTGCTTTTCTAGAATATTTAAATAGGAGGTTTAAAAAAACGCGGAAAATACTCTTCCTCGGACAAAGCTTTCAAACCCTGAAATTATTTTGAATATTTTGAAGCCATACATTTTAAAACGTTTTTTGTATTAAACACCAGGAAAACGATTTTAAATATATTTGTATCTTTTATTTCCTAGTCATTATTTGTTTGTTTTCTTTTAAACAACAAAAACGGTTAACTATGAAAATTGTAAATTGTGATAAATTGGTCACATCCAGAAAGTGATGCGCGCGCATTTAGTATTCCATGTTTCTAAACATGGCAGGTCGTAGTGGATTTGACGATGGTAATCCCAGGTATTTAATTTTAAAAATACGCTTAAAACTATTTTGTATATTCTTGAGGCAATTTATAGTGTATTTTGTATATATTATTAATTTTCTAAAAGATTACTTGGACGCATTTGTTATAATACCTTTTTTAGTACCATATGATAATATTGAAAGAAAGTGATATTTTAGCGAAGCTTGTGAATAATAATCATTCAAATTACTAAGTTTTTGTCTCATTCGTAGTTATTCAATTGAATATTAACCAAAATATAGCATTTAAAAAAATGTATAGGTTATAAATTCTATGGTTAACATAATGTGTACAGGGACTTCGGAGGCGGTAGAAGAACTATTGGCGGGCGTCCTCTACCTACCGAGCCTCCCTACAAGGCGTATGTTGGAAATTTACCCTCTGGAATCATCCAGGGTGATATTAATAGAATATTTCCTGTGAGTACTCATATAACACTATTCTCTGTTATTATTTTATTATTCACTATTACTGAATTATATTGTTTATAATTGTACACATTGATAAATCATTCATGCTATTTCAATAATGTGAAATATGTTGTAATTTTACAAATCTATACATATATAATTTTCAAGGTTTTAAGTAGTAAATTCTCATAAATCATACATTGACTACATTTTTCTTATCTCATTTGTCTTAAATTTCAATGTCTTGATTATGATTATGCCACCTTAGGTCATAAGACATATTTTGTTTATTTTTGTATAATAAGCGACTTGATAAATGAAGTTAGCTTCTGTAAGATAACAGGATGTTATTTTGTTAATATTAATCTCACTTGTCTCATTTTTCAGGACCTATCTATTAAAAATGTGCGGTTGGTTATGGATAAAGAGACAGACAAATTCAAAGGATTTTGTTATGTGGAATTTGAACACTTAGAGGATTTGATTAAAGCAATTGAAATGAACAATATCTTAAATGTAGATGGTAATTTTGTAAAAATCGATGTGGCTGAAGAAAAAAGAAGTGACAGGTGAGGTTATTTCATTTATCAGAAACAACAACAACTGTGACAACTCATGAAAGGAAATACTGAGTTGATAAACCATGAAAAAAGTCCTTATTTTTCATATCTTAACTTTTAATTTTAATAATTCTTATGTAATCCACAAAACATCGTTAATCAATTAAAAAAAGTAACCATTGGATTAAAATGAAACCAATGGCAATTCAATAATAATAATCTTTGCATAAAACATTGTAAATGTACAGATATTTTAGATGACTTATAATCATAATTAAAGAGTCTGATGTTGTAATCTAAGAAAAAAGTTTTTGAAGAATTGCTTTGACAAACAGACGCTTAAGATTTTAGCACCTGAAGGGGTTTATTAAAGGCGTATAGACAAATGTTCAAATATTACCCAAGTTTATGTCTAATACAATGTTTTGCCCAATATTAAGCCAAAACCGAAATTTTGGTTAGTCACTATTGAAATGTCTGGCATTATTATTTCAGGCTGTAAGGTCTATCTTTTTTAGTCTTCAGGGAAAAGAATGCATCTGTTACTTTTGTTTATGCACTAATATAGGATTTGATCATAAAACTCTAGCTGATACTCTCACTAAAAGATCATGTGGTGGACACCAAGGATGAGAAAAATGAAATTCCTCACAGTTATTGAATTCCAGCTTGGCAGTAAAAATAGTTAACTAGCAATGAATATTCTGATATTGTTGGGTATTCGGTCTATTTGGTTACTTTTATCCTATTTGGTCGAACATGAGAAACATATCTAGGTATTTATTATTCAGCCAAATATCGAATACTTATGCAAAATGTTTTGTTATAGTCAGATGATTGGCAAAATGAATGTATTTATACATTTGATATAAATATTTTCATTTCATTAAAATATAATTTATTTTATAATATTAATCAACTTCCTTATTATAAAAATATACAAAAAACTGTCATATAAATGTCTGTGCTTTTGAAATATAGACAATTCCATTTTCAGAAAGTAGATGCTCTGAATAAACACTACTTCCTTTCTGGCTGAATATTTTTGCCTAATGCTAAGCTATTTGGCCAAAAAGCCGACAGAGTATTCGGTATTCAGGAGGTGGCCGAATATACTATTTGTTACAAGCTTAAAAAATAGGTACTCTATCCAGATGGACTCCTGAGCAGCAAAAGTCCTACCGCCTGATTGATAGTAAAACAGATATAGTGAAATTGATAATATGACAAGACTCAAAATTATTATTTGAAACATTACAGAGGAGGTGGGTTCGACCGCGGTCGGCGCGACAATCGTGATGGCGGGCGGGACGGTGGACGCGGAGGTGGCGGTGGTTTCAGAAGGGACGGTGGTGGCGGCGGTCGCGGTACGTACGAGCACTTCGACGGACTCGAGCGCAGAGGACCCAGGCATCAGGGTGGAGGGCTTGCTTATGGTAACACTATTAACTACTAACCACAGAGAGAAGACTTGTCTGTAAACAAAAAAGACAAAACATATCTTGGTAGATTTAGATTTATTAATTTCGTAAATATGAAATAATATTTTTATTTATTAATAGTATTTTTAAACATCAACAAACAAGGTTTAAATCAATATGATGGTATAGTACAGGTCTACAGCCTATTTATTAAACAAATTTTTTAGCTTAAGTACTCTCCAAGGCATGGGGTGAAACACCACCAACATCCTGACTTTGGGCAGCTACTGAGAATATCTTGATGGAAAAAGCCAATCTGTGTTATTACAAAACATAGTTTATTATTAGCCACGGGTTTAAACTTTAGTTTAAGAAGAGACTGTGTCACGAAAAAAATCCCTTAGCCGCAGAGCTATAGTTTTCGCGAAATTTATTGTAAAATTTCATACTTTACATTTTATATCACTTATAATGTAAAAGCCTTTTATTAAACCTGGGATGAATTGAACCGGTGATTCGAAGTGGAACCTTATGTTCAGCAGTTGTGCTTATGGCCACTAGACCATTGAGGCAGTCAATTTAAACAAAGAGTAATGAACTGCAAGATTTTTAAAAAATGCGATTTTTATAAAATAGCACAAGTCTTCTCTTTTTGTTCCTTAAAATTCACATCCATAATATTTTCATTACATTTCAAGTCAACATTTTTTCCTGAATTAATAACCATGTATCTGCACTGCACTTGTGACATTTGCTGTCTTTTGATAAAGGGATTTTTATTTATTTAAATCTTTATTTCATTTCTGTTTTAAAAGGAAACTGCTTATCTAATCAACATACTACAAATACAAACACTAATCTATGCATCTGATCTCAATAACTCGTAAATTTCTGTAATTATAATTTATGAATAATACTATTAGTACACTACTCACAGTTATAATACGGAGTGTATTAGTTACAATAATTTAATTTATTTATATTATGAGATAATATTAAATAGGTAATATTAATAAGGTGGCCAAGGCTCACGGACTTTGCGGGACAGTCTTGTTATATAAATAATTATTTGCAATGTAATATTCTTCCATGCTTCATTCCATTCTATTATATTACAGACATAAAAATTGGGAAGAGTTATCAATATCAGTTACAGTTGAAGTTATTAACTGAACAACTTGGTATTAAATAAAGCTTTGAATTAAACTTTTGAATATATTGGTTATGTTACTAATAAGCGTTATTGCTCTCTTTTTTATTAAAGATATTTAATGAATACTGCTTTAAAAATATAATTACTGTTTTAATTTAATAGGTAGGAAAATTTAATTATATGCAACAATTAAAGCCTAATAAGGCGTTAATTGTTGGAATTAAGCTGACACGTCATGTTTTTGTGAAATAAATTAAAGAACAAGTATTATATAAAATATTAATAAATATAGAAAAATAATATACAAATATAATGACGAGGTATTATATATATTACAAGAGCTGGCATTCACGGCAGCCTTCTCAGGTGGATCCAATCCTATATTGAAAATAGATGTCAAGCAGTTTGTGTAAAGGGATACTCTTCATTATTTCTACCCGTAACTTCAGGCGTGCCTCAAGGACCACATTTAGGCCCTTTGCTGTTTTAATTATATATTAATGATATAGGACTCGCACTAGAGAATAGTGATTACTTACTTTATGCCGACGATACAAAGTTATTTCGAGTTATCAAAACAGTTGATGACTATGTAAAGCTACAAAAAGACATAACTTCTCTATTTGATTACTGTTCAAATAACCAACTATATCTCAATATTGATAAATGCCATATCATATCTTATACACGTAAAGCCAACAATATAATATTTGATTATAGCTTGAAGCTATTAAAAGAGTAGATAGTATTAGGGATCTGGGTATAATAATGGATTCAAAATTGTCATTCAATCTTCATGTTGATTATATATTAAGCAATGCATTTCGTAGCTTGGGATTTATTCTTAGGATTAGCAAACCCTTTAACAAACCATAACGCTAAAAACTCTATACTTTTCCTTTGTTCGGTCAATCTTAGATTTTTGTAGTACTGTATGGAGTCCCTGTTTTTATATACATAAGAATAGAATTGAAAGAGTACAAAAGACATTCCTTAGGTCACTTAACTATCGTAATAATATTACTAACAAATTGTATGATAAATCTTTGCGTAGGTATAAATTATTATCCCTTTGCGATAGACGCAAATTGTTTGATATAATCTTTTTATATAAAATTTTGAATAATTTAATTGACTCTTCTGAACTTCTATCAAAGGTATCATTTATTGCTCTTGTTCGTCTTCCGGTGTGATCCTCACGTAAAACACCACTTTTTGTTCCTCCGCTGTTACATAAAAGATTCATTCTTATACCGTTCCACTGACATATATAATAAGCATTTTACTAATATCGACCTTTTTAATTCATCTCTCAATACCTTAAAACAGAAAATAAAAAATAATTTAAGTAAGACTTGCTAGTGAGTTGCATTTTTTTTGAATTGATATTCTATTTTTAATTATGTTTATGTACTTTGTGTTTTTTGTTATCTTAATAGTCACTATGTAGTGTCACCATGTAACTTTCTTTTAAATTGTGTTTAAGTTTTCGGGACTGTAGGTCAATTTCTAATAAATAAGTTTTTTTGTATTTTATTTCCTTTGTATAAGACTGTTTGTTGCCAAAAAAAAAAAAATAGAATTAACATTGTTACTAAATTGGCCATTTCAAATGTTATGTTTCTGTCTCATGTGGCAAGAAATGACACAGGCATTATATTATAATCGTATTTGTTTTTTTTTATTAAGTAATGCAGTAAACTGAGTAAATCACACATTTTAGGTTATTCCAAGTATACAAAGTTCTTTAATACCTACTTGAAGTGAACATTTTTTTATTTATATTACAGGTGTAATTATTTTTTCAGAAATGGCACTAACAACTTGACTGCAATTTAGTATTTAAAATGTTTTAGTTTCCAAGTTTATAAAGATAGGTGTAATCCCTGCGAAAATTATACTTTTTAACGTCATGTGAAGCTCAGACACCTTCACATGACATTACCAGGTACATGTTGAAAAATATGCAAATATATATATATATATATATATATATAATATCTTGTACCAGTCTCTATTAAAGGAAGTTACAAAATCTCTTGAACATTTTCTTCAGTCCACATTTACACTACTGTACACACACATTCCTTGTTCCTATGAGAAATAGTAAAAACACGGCATCAATGTGTTATATATATATATATATATATATATATATATATATATATATATATATCTTGTACATTCCTCTTCTTCATTATCCATAACAAGTTCTGCTAAAAGACTTATTGTGTTGTGGAATTGCTGCATAGCTATTCTCTACTATAGCCATGCTCAACAATTGCACTATGCATTATAATTGGATCTATGTTAAAATTTAGAGCCTATAGAGGGTTTTAGGGCGAGAAAGTATCCGCCGCGCTACCCCAATGCGTGTTAGCGAACTTCACATGTCTTCGAAATATTTTTTCTTTTTTCTCAGACATGCCGGTTTTCTTATGATGTTTTCCTTCACCGCCGAGCACGTGGTAAACATGGATCTATGTGGGTTTACAAAATTACAGCATTATTTGGCAAGGTGTAAAATGTCTAACGATCATGACGTTAACTAACAAAAAGCTTACGATAACTTAAATTCACAAAATAGCACTCTAATGCTACCTGTATTTGACGGTTGGTGACTCTACTGCACTAATGCTTATTGGCATATTTTAAATGCAAATATTTTTGTTTTATTAAATATGCATATATCCCTTCATTGCCGTACACATTGTAAATCCCTATCATCATCATCATCGTCAAGTTTCCTTCACAAATATACTATTTATTTTTTAACCTAATATTTCTATTATTCTGTATGGTCCATTATTTTAGCCTGAGGTTATTACTAAGCTAATACTGGGTTTTTATTTTTTTATAATTTTTGTCCATGTCGTGAAATCCGGTGGTATCATTATCTTAAAATAATCAAACCTTAGAAAATGTAAATTTATAATACATGTTGTATATTGATGCTTTAACGAAATAAAAACGACACGCATGTTTGGACAAAGATATAAGGTTTTTCATCCTAGTGATGACATAATGTCATAAGAGTGTATGAGTAATATTGTAAATTTATTCAACTTTTTTGTTATAGAGATGTAATAAAGAGTTCACTTACAGCCTATCAGAAGTCCACTGCTGAACATTGGCATCTCCCATACATTGTGATTGTAGCGGTAGAGTGTAGGTCCACTTACCATCAGGTAGACTGTCGTCGTTTATCATGCTAATTCTATAAAATTTCGTTGTGTGCAGAGCGTAAGCGCGAGCAAGGTGGGAAGTGGTGGAGCGTTAGATGTGGCAATAAGCACTATTATCGGGTAGTCTAGGTGTGTGTGTGCTGTGTGTAGCGTTAGCGCGAGCTATGCGTGGTGCACGGTGGGGCGGTAAATGTGCCAATGAGCGACCATTTAGGGCTGATCCTCATTTGCCGTTTACAGTTTGTTCTCGGTCCAATCTCAGTCTGATTTATTATAATGGAATGGGATTTTACCAAAACTTGACTGTTACCAGATAATATGAATGCAAACATATTTTTTACCTAATAATATTTTATCAGACCGAGAACGAACTGTGAACGGCCTTATAATGAGAATCGGTCCTTATCAGGAGGACTGAGCTAGTTTATCGCCTTTGTTATATAGATATAACCTTTGTGTGCAGAGCCATGAGTGTGAACGTTGTAGGGAGTTGTGTGGCGTTAGCTGAGCCAATAGAAACAAACTTTTTTTATTCAATGTAGATTATAAACAATACATATTGAAAGTCAATTTTTTCATTTACCACTGGTTCGCAAAAAAACCTCTGTCCTGGGAAGAACCAGCAAGAAACCCAGTGGGACTATTTTTTTTTTTCAAATAATAGCTTACAATCATGTTTACAATCAACAACACAAGACAAATTAGAAATAGCTTGGTAGCGATCACCCTTCCCAGGTGTTATTATCATCCATAAATTCCTTAATATTATAATAACCCTTTTTATACAAACTTAGTTTAATAAAATTTTTTGAACTTTGCGTGTGACAAATTTTGTATATGTTCTGGGATTTTGTTGTAAAAGCGTATACAGCGCCCCAAGAATGAATTACTGACTCAGTGGAGTCGAGTAACTGGTACTACTAGTTTGTGTCTGTTCCTAGTATTTACAGAACAAATATCACTTATTTTAAACTACGTGAATTCTTGTGTATATATCATATAATACATTTTCATAAATGTATTGAGAGGCCAGAGTTAATATATTAATTTCATTAAATTTTTGTCTCAGTGACTCTTGGTTTTAAATTATATATTGCTCTAATGGCCCTCTTCTGTAAAATAAATATAATTTCAGTTTCAATAATCGTTATGATCGGGGGGACTGCATACTCGTTTGTCACCATTATTGTACAACATCCCATTTTATGTGCAGAGCGTGAGCGCGAGAGAGGGGGCTCAGGCGGCGGGGGCGGCGCGGAGCGGTGGGGCGGGGGTGGCGGCGGGGGACGCGGTGAGGAGGCGCGCGGCGAATGGGGGGCGCATGGGTCGCGCAGCGGCACCCCCCGCCGGCGCGCCCAAGCCGCGCCGCACCTTCGACGACATGCCGCCTGCCAGGCCCGGTACGTACACCTACACTACATTTTAAGACGACCATATCCACCCTTCTCTTGTCGAGTTACTTATTTATTATTTATTGCACCAACAAAGTATAGTTGCCGACACGAAAGGGTGAGCACAGATGAACTATGGTGGGGGTTGAACCAGCGTAGGTACACTGTCGGCCAAAATTATTAGGTACTGTTGTTATTTCAATTCATAATTGAATATTTTCGCTGACGTTTTTTCGAAATTCTGAATCGTTAACTCCGTTAACTATACAACGTACATTGGCTACGTAGATATTAGTCGCCTTAGCAGTCTATTTATAAACGTCTATCATGTTTTTCGCAATACCGAATTATTTCATGTAACAAAACATTGAATAGACCATTTGTCACCGAATTAACAACGAGGTAACACTACAATTAACAAAAATAAACTAATTAAAAAGTTGTCACTAAAATTGCTCTCAAGTGTACGGTAGTCGAATGATACGTGCGAACCCAATAGACGACGAGAATCGGCTGACGAACCAATCACGTTGAGCGTCAGCGTGGTCAACGTCATATCGACCAATAAAAAGTGTGCTCACGACTCGTGGCGGCAATTATACACACTATTACATAACAAAAATATCAGAAAAACAAAAAAAAAAGAAACATATAAAGTGCTACTTCAATTATAGGCGCAAACAGCATTCTTAGAAAGTCTCGTACATTAACTTATGTTGTGAAGAACTTTAATTTATTTATATTAAAATGTATGCATTATTATAAGGAAGTTATTACAATTGATTAACTTATTAGTACTGTTAACAACAACAATAATAAAAACTATGTTAAGAGCAATATATCATTTGAAAACTAATAAAGATAAAAACATCAATTAAATTTTAAACAAGCCGAAATGTCATTAAAATAAAAATTTATATTATAAGTCAAAATTAATCATTTTTATCGTATTTGTATTTTGTTAGATTTCTAATGTCTTACTATAAAAAAAGTTAGACATCTGTTCAACACGTGTTTATGAAATGAGTTACTACAAAAGAGTGTTTAACGGTGGTTTATGGATAGGCAAGGCTTAGACGTTGTTTAAATTTAAATAGCCGCAAACCCTTGTTTAACTAGTATCTAACCTATCTTTTCCGTCAGTTCAGTATTTTTATTTAACATGGATATAATTGATTTTGTCGATTACTTCGATGAAGACGACATGGATAACTATGCTGAAATGTTCCGAGAAAGTAATACGGTTCGTGTGAGGGTTAATCCGTTTGAAAAATATGACGACACCAAGTTTAAGAAGAAATATAGGTTCAGCAAACTTTTTGCTAGAAAATATTAGATCTTGTGAAAGACGATATACCGAGTGATTCTCGTGGTAACACAATAGACCCAGCAGTGCAAGTGGCTTGTGCATTACGGTACTGGGCTCGTCATCAAGTAAGTTCGATTCATACAAATACAAATACAGATTTCTTTGCAGCCACTTTTGTTCGTCTCCAGAAACCCTTTAACTGGGTGATCTCTCTGGATTTCCCAGTGAGTTCCTTAAGACTGCAATAAAAAAGAATACCAATTTTATTATTAATTTAACCTTCTTAAAAATATATTTTGGTGCAACAGAAAAATATAGACTTATCATCTATTTGATCAACATCTATACTAACTAAACAAATCAGTCTGACCACACAATTACCTCTTTTGTACTCTAATCCACTCCAGATTCTTTCTTTTATTTGTATTAGTGTCGGTAAATTTACTCTCTATAATAGGCGCTGACTCCCTCATTATTTCCAAAAACAGATCCTGAAAGTAGTAAATATTTAGGTAATTAAAAACGTAACAAACAAAACAAGCAGTGTTATTATTATATATTCTTAATAATTAGCTCATGCGGCTTAAAAAACTAGACCAACTTCCTAAAACGAATAGTACATAAGCGTAACTAACCTTTTCCTCTTGAGTCCAATTTTCGCCTCGAGCACGATTCTTTTGATTCTCAGGCGCAATATTTCCTTTCGACTCCATTATTTAATACGATAAAAGTGAACACAAATTAAATACAGCGAAACAATTTACAAACACGATGCAGGCAACGGTCGCGGATGCTTGTTTGACAACTGACATTGAGCATTGACATCTATACAAAGATGGTTGCGTTTGACATAATTTCACATTTATCTTCATCTAACTGCCAAGCATAACTGATATGTTTTTGTTAATAAATAATATATTTAATGAATTTTTTTACAAAGAATATAGATAAACATATATATAGCTTTTTTATTATTGAACTTTGAGACAAAACAAAATTTAATTTTTATGTAGTTAGTCGTATTAATTTGCGTAAAATAAAACGAATGATCGAATGCTGAACGAATGTATTGCAGTGTGACCTGGAGAATAAAGTTGAACGTTGTCTATAGAGGCACGCGTTAAACACGGTTTAGTGGTAGCGAAATTTAAACCATTGTTTAACATGTGTTTATCATTTAAATCCGTTTTTAACTAAACACATGTTGGACCAGTGTTTAAATGCTTTTTTGTAGTACGACTGCTAATGTCTAATTGATGAACTTATAGTTTTTCTTCATTCTTTACAGGCCAAATTGTTGCAACTTGGCCAGTTTATTAAAATGCTAGTATTCTATTTTACTTTTCAGTTACAATCTTGTGCGCTTGGCTTGTATAATATTATGCTTAGAAATTAAATTTTAAGTTAATATTGTTAATACATTAGGTCGTAAGAACACAATATAATTATATTTTTTAATTACTACCATACACTCCTACAACATACACTCCCTATAACATTTAAGGCAAAGATTTCTTCTCTTCTCCACTTCATGCATAGTTATTGACGTGATAAAATTTGCTTTTGGAGACAAAGTCGGGGAAACAGTTTCGTGCCGCAACTAAATATCTATCATCCATAATTTATTTATACTACTCGATAGCTAAAGTATCAAGGAATTCGTTACATTCAGTGAGGACTGTAACGCATCGCTCGCGGCAGAGGGAAGAGCACCACCATTTTGAAGTTGTTTCGTTATGTGCACGTATTCACCTAAAATACAGGCTGTTGGCAATGACACCGCCACACCCAGATCTTTTCTATGGTAATGGACCTGATAGTACTTTTGCTAATGTCAAGTAACAAGCAATTATCCTTCATAATATCTTGTTTCAAAAACTTCTTGATTCTACAGGATCATAATGACACCTTGATCCAACAGATATTCGATGTAGAAATTTTCTCAAATTTTGAAGCCGCTTGAGGGGACAAAATATCTTGATATTTATATCAATATCAGAGCACTTTTTCGTTGTTTCACACGATCTAAATAAAAATGTAGCTTATTAAGATTCTAATTCAATAACATGCCTTTCATATTATTGAAAAATATAGTGTGGATGGCCAACATTTAAAAAATGAGAACTCAAACATCAAAGTTTTTTCGAGTTATTCCATTTATCCATCCTAAAAAATCCATCTAGAGTGGATACTTGGAATCTTGTATTCTTTTATTCACCCCATCTAGGGTAGATACCAGTTTCTATAATGTTTTTATATACGACTGTGTACAGTCGTATATAAAAACATGATAGAAACTGGCCCAAGATCACTTAGTAGACTTTAGCATACTTATAAAAATACATACTGAAATAATTTTAATTGTTCAATTATGTATCATTCGATGCAACATAATTTACGTCATTTTGGCGATATGATGAAAGAAATGTTTTTCTGCTATTAGTAGAGCCATGCTGCCGCTATATTGTGGTTGCAACTCAAATGAGTCAGCTCGATCGGGGTAGGACGACGCTCTCACAGAATACCAGCGTAAAATAACAGCCTAGTGCAGCACTGTGTTTCGTATGGAAAGTGTAGAGAACCGGAGACACTTTTTACTGGAAACTAGGCATTCCATCTCAGTCCTCAGGGCTGGCAATGCATCTGCATTTTGATTCTTAATTGAAGATAACAGCATCCACTTACCATCAGGTGGACTGTGTGCTCGTTTGTCACCCTAATTCTATAAAATAAATAAATAGAGAGCTAGTATAATTACAGGCTGCGAAGCTATACATCTTAGTGCTCAGAGGTCAAAGTGCATTTGTTGCCGTCTTTGTTTGTTGTTGGCTGCACATGTCCATAGACTGCAGCACCCGCTTACCATCAGGTAGACTGTCAGTTTGTTTGTCACTTCAGTTTTATAAAAAAGAGAAGGCAGTCTACAGTCGAGTTCTATATTTATGGACTAAAATGATACATGTTCACAATATAATTTTTGTGTGCCAAAAAAGAAAATCAAAAAATCTTTACCTGATAGGCTGCACTTTACTCAAGTTAGTAATACATTTTATATTCACTCAGTAAAAATTCGGAGTGAAAACTCATTGCTACAATCATTTTCCGAACCAGCAAATAAAATTTTATGTATAAAAAATAAATAAAAGTACTCTCATTATATTTTACACATGAGGCAGCTTCTAATGGATGATGGATGTGTTTGACTACTGCAAACAGCCTTAATAACAACGCATTCTACTTAAGTGACAGGCTTTGACGGTCAGCGGATATCATTAAAAGCCAAGAGGCAAATAAATTCTTACTACTTTATAAGTAAATTTTGTATTTTACAGACACGACAGGCAGACCAAAGTTGAAACTGGAACCCCGGACCGTTAAAGAGCCGGTGAACTCTTTGGCTTCAACAAGCCAGGCTTCTTCAATATTTGGCGGCGCGCGGCCGCGAGAAGAACGGCTTAAAGAACTAAAGGAGGGGTAAAGAAACTCATCCCCACCTTTTTCCCCCTCCTTTGTGTACATGTATCGTTCCGACGCCCGCTAATTAATGATCATCTACCCCCGGTTTACATCGTGCAAAGACTTTTGTACATGAACATAAGGATTTTGTTAGGTTGTAAATCATTTTTATCGTATTTGTATTTTGTTAGCTTTATTATGTCTAATTGATGAGCTTATTGTTTTTCTTCGTGCTTTACAGGCCAAATTGTTGCAACTTGGCCAGTTTAATAAAAATGCTAGTGTTCTTTACTTTGCAGTTACAAGCTTGTGCGCTCGGCTTGTATAAGTTTGGAAATTCAATTTTAAGGAAATTGAATCTTTTTTTTTCGTTGATATTGTTATTAAACTATGCGGTAAAACATAATATAATTATTTTAGTTAACTACTACAATGTAAGTTGCGGCGATTCGGAGAGCTTCATAATCGTTTCTCTGTTGTAATGATTCATTTTTTTTGTTTGTTAGGTTATAAAAAATAATCAGTGAATAAGTAATTATGAATGATAATTTAAGAGTTGATAATATGGTGATGTAATTATGGTGTCATTAATAAATTTAACTTCCACGTACTTGGATTTCTACTTTATTAAATATATTGTGTAATGTCGTAAGTTACGTGGCGGTAAAAAAATCGCAAAATTGTAACTAAATATAGAAAAATTAATAAAAAGTGGATTCTTTGTAACCGATATTTTCATTCCCTCCTTTCCTTTACCAAACCATTATACACCTACTACTACGGTCGGTCATCGAAGGCATCTAGACGGGACAAACGTGCGGTGCGGTGTGGTGTGGGACGAGAGGCGGTTGGAGGGCTGTTGTCCTGTCACGAAAATAAATTAAAATTTTGTATTCAAGTCAAACGTATTGCAACGTCTGTCGACCCAACTTGTATAGTTATATTACCATGGTAATGACGATCCTTGTTAAGAAAGATTCTCGGGTAGCAGCCACATACTGGTAAGCGAAGTGTAGGGTTAGTGTTGCAAAAAATCGATTAATGCAGGTGGCATTCCTTGGGGGAGGCCCAAGTGGACTTGTGGAGGGCTTTGATAACGATAACCGAAACCGAACGAACGAATACCAGCGTGAAATAGTAGCTTAATTCTGCTGTATTTCGTATGGTGAGTGTAGAGAACCGGAGACCTTTTTTACTGGAAACGAGGCATTCCATCTTAGTGCTCACGGGTGACACACATCTGCATTTTGATTCGTAATCGAGGATAGATGTAGATGTCTATGGGCCACAGCAACCACTTACCATCAGGTGGACTGTGTGCTCGTTTGTCACCCTATCCTATAAAAAAAAAAAAACGATGATGATTATCCGCATGATAGCAGCGAAAGAAAATTCATGACCTTATCTCACCATTTAAATGTGGTTACATACCTATCTCGTATGAAAATATAGGATGTGGACAGCGGCATTACGTAAATAAACGGTTAAAAATAAAAAAATCCTGCCAAGTAGTCATTATGGCAATCTCTTGTTATCGTTTAAAGGTTGATTTTATTACCCAACGGTAGGGAACATACTGATAAGAATGAATAAATAAAACATTTCCAATAATAAGTTCTTAAAAATAATAAACAGACCATCTATACTGTAGTATAAAATAGATCAGCTAAAAAAGTTTTTGGAACGTAATTTATTGAACGTTAATAAAACTTGCAATACATAGGTATTGATATATTTAAATAAATTGTTAATACCTAGTTTATTTGAATTTGTTGTTCACTCCTTGTTTAGGCATACCGTTCAGATTGCCACTCTTATCGGCGAATCCGACCGCCCGGAGTCGTAGTCTTGGCCCCTTTTTACATTATATATTTTAGTAAGAAGCGTTGTTTTTCGGGTCCAGTGGCATTGTGATTACAGTGCAGTGTCGCCGTATCTCTGTTATTATTACGAGTAATTATTGGTTAAATGTTACAGCCATTTGCGGCCTCCTCCCATTGCTGGGGTTTTAGAGTTTAGAGCAATAAAATGTCTACCGCGCTGCACCAATGCGTATTCACACGTTTTATAAATGGTGCCGGCGGGGATCGAACCCGGGTTGCTCGCGTACTGTGAAATTTATAGCTAGCGCTTAGCCCTTGAGCTATAACCTGCCTGCCAAGCACATGAGTAAAGAAACCGACCAGAGGGGAAGCTACATACAAACGGCTCGCTGCGACTATACCAATGCATAGCGCAGCGATGTGTGCGTGAGCTCTCACCGACGCTCCGTCGGGGCACAGATTAAGAAGTAAGGACCAGAGGGGTAGCTTCCTAACAACTTCGAAAATGTATACCTATTTTGATAGGATTGTCACCTGATGAGTGTGAAAACATTAAGGGAAAAATAACTATATTACATAAAATTTAGTGTGAAACAACATGTGATTTCATTGTAACTGAAATTAATATAACAACATGTTTATTTCATCATAATTACAGCTCTTCACAAGTCCACTGCTGTACATAGGCCTCCCCCAAGGTATGCCACAAAGCACGATCCTGAACCACCTGCATCCATCGACTTCCTGCATGTCTTATCAGGTCGTCACTCCATCTAGTGGGGGGTCGCCCTACACTTCGCCTACCGGTACGAGGCTGCCACTCGAGAACCTTTTTTTCCCCAACGGTTGTCGGTTTTTCGAGCTATATGGCCGGCCCATTGTCACTTCATCTTACTAATCCGTTGGGCTATGTCGGTCACTCTGGTTTTAATGCGGATATCCTCATTTCTGAGTCTTATCACGCAGAGAAACTCCGAGCATAGCCCTCTCCATAGCTCGCTGAGTGACCTTGAGCGTCCTCATACGGCCAGCAGTGAAGGACTCCTCTCGGTTCCATAGGTCATCACTGGCAACACGCACTGGTTGTACAACTTAGTTTTGAGGTATACCTGACAAGCAGATGTGTCGTAATTTCCCGAACGCTGCCCAGCCGAGTAGAATCCGTCGATTGACCTCTCGGTTGAAGTTGGACTTACCTAGTCGGAATATTTGTCCCAGGTAAACGTACTCGTCAACAACTTCGAGCTTAGTGCTCCCAACAACTACGGGTATAGGTGTGACATGGACATTAAACATGATCTTTGTCTTGTCAATGTTCATCTTAAGACTTATCCGTTCGGAGGCACTATTGAGGTCATTGAGCATAGTGCTTAAGTCCTCCAGCGATTCTGCCATAACGACTATATCGTCGACAAATCGAAGGTGAGTGATGATACTCGCCATTGGTGTTAACACCGTATCCTTTCCAGTCCAGTTGCTTGAAAACGGCTTCCAATGCAGTGGTGAAGAGTTTCGGGGAAATAACGTCACACTGTCTTACACCTCTCTCCAGTTGGATAGGTTTCGTACTCCGGTTCTGTACTCGGATAGCCATCGTAGCCCTACTGCCCAAACACTTCAGCACTTCGATATACCGACAGTCAACTTGGCACCGCTGAAGGGACTGTAGCACCGCCCAAATTTCGACGGAATCAAAGGCTTTCTCATAGTCTACATACGCCAGGCAAAGTGGCAGATTGTATTCTTCGGACTTCTGTACAATTTGCCAAAGGGTATGTATGTGGTCTATGGTATTAAAGCCTTTTCGGAAACCGGCTTGTTCGGGAGACTAGAAGTCGTCGAGTCTGCGTGTGAGACGATTCTCAATGACTCTCGAAAACAGCACGTAAACGCGGCTCAGAAGGGATATCGGTCTGTAGTTCTTCAAGAGGGCGTTGTCACCTTTCTTGAAGAACTAGACCACCGCACTTATGCTCCACGCCTCGGGAGTAGTGCCTCCATGGAGGACAGAATTAAAGAGCTTCTGAAGGACTTTAAGTACCTGTTTTCCACTCACTTTCAGAAGCTCCGCTGTAATTCCACCCTGCCCGGGGACTTGCCGTTTTTAGGGTGTTGGAGAGCCATTCTAATCTCGCCCAAACTGACGTCCGGGTCATCGGAATAGTGTCAGATAAGACTTGCTCTTGGATCGTTACTCACACTTGCGTGTTACTCCAACGATGATGTACAGCTGCCCATAGAACCTCTCAATCTCACTCAGAATCTCAGGTGTCCCGGAAACGATGCTGCCACACGCAGTCTTCAGCTTTGACAGTTGGCTCTTACTAGTAGGCAGATCTCTAGCAGACTTTGGAGCCCTGGTTCCGCTCAATCGCTTCTTCAATACGAGCTGTTTTGCATTGCATTGCAGAAGTCCTGCCGCATGCATTTGGAGATCCGTCTGTTCAGTTGCCTGTATGCTGTCAAACTGCTGATGACTGCAGCTTCATCGCCCGTCTAACATCCATGAGATTAAGAGTGTGATCGGAGAGTTTTTGTGTTCTTCTGCGGCGAGTCTTGCAGAACTTAGCTCCGACCGCATGGACAGTTTCCACGAGCTTGTCATTCATATCGTCCACTGTATTGCAGTCTTCTAGGCACTGAAAACGGTTTTGTGATTCGAGCTGAAAGTTTTCGGAGCCTTGGATTAGCGCACGAGCGGCACGGAGCATTGACTTCACTAGACGAGACCTCTCCAACTTAACATTTAAGTTAAGTGTGCCTCTAACCATTCGGTGATCGCTGCCAGTTTTCACCCTCGCGATCACTGAGATATCACTGAACAGTTGGCGTCTGGTCGTCATAATGAAGTCACTCTCAGTTTTTGTCGAACCGTCGGGGCTCGACCAGGTCCACTTCCTGTGGGGCCGTTTCTGGAAGAAAGAGTTCATCATAAAGAGTCCCTCTTTCTCCATAAAGTCGGCTAGCTGCTGGACCCTACAGTTCCGTTACCCTACTCCAAATTTCCCTACCTTCAGCTCACCGCTTTCTCTTGTGCCTAGTTTTGCGTCGAAGTCTACCATCAACACCGTATAGTGAGTTTTAGAGGAATGCATGACT